TCAGGTAGGATCAGCTAGTGCGTGGCAGTGATGCGGCACAGTAGAGACAGAGCCCAGAGGAAGTGAGGACAGCTGGGAAGCATAAGCAGAGGCCCCACACAGGTCACCTAGCTTCCTGCCCACCCCTAGCTTCCTTCCCAGCATCACTCTGCAGGGACATCCGAAATGTGTCCTCCCAGGGCCACCTGTCTGACTCGTACAATGCTCATCAGTCAACACCTTCACTGAAAACTCCAAGAAATATCTGTACAGCCTACACGACTGCTTTCAGGAGTGGCCCTGTTCTGCTATGAGTCAGCCCGGGACAGAGACAACATCATGTCTGCCACATGTGTGGAGGCCAAAGCCACCCACTCACCTCTGTGCCTGGTGAGGAATCTTGTGATAGGACTGGCTGAGCCCTCACAGAGATAGGTAGTCAGGAGAGTAAGGAGGAAAGAAAGAAAAGAAGACCCCTCCCTCCCTTACAATCCTACTTGGCTGCACGTGGCTACTCCCCTGAGTTCCAGGCCCAACTCTAACTGATGTTTGCTTTTACAGCAATACGCAGCTAAACTTTGCAGAATGGCAGGCGACCATGCAGGAGAAGAGATGGTGGGTACACCACACAACTCATAAAAGAAACTATGTTCTGGGTTGGAGAGATGGCTCAGTCGTTAGGAGCACTGGCCGTTCTTGCAGAAGACCCAGGTTCGAATCCCAGCACCCACATGGTGGCTAACAACCATCCATAACTCCAGTTCCAGGAGATCTGACGCCCTCTTCTGTCTTCCATGGGCACTGCCCGACACAAGTACACTTACACACATGCAGGCATAACACTCATACACATGAAATAAAAATTAAATTAATTTTTAAAAAGAAACTGTTCTCTCATCATCATATTTTCGGAGAATTCTTGACAGGCAGGATTCTCCTGGCTTTGCCCCCGGTGTGCTGGTGCCCAGGTCCACCTTGAGCCTGGGTGCTGCCAAGGCCCCTGCCAGGCTTGAGCTCACCATGGGTGCAGCCTTCCTTTCCTGAGCATGAGCCCCACCTGGTGGCTCTTTCAATCCAGCCACACTCACTCAAGTATGATGCAGAGGTCAGTGGACAACTTGTAGGAGCCCAGTCTCTCCTTCCACCATGTAGGTACCAAGGGTTGAACTCAGATCACAAGGGTCAGTGGCAAATACCTTTACCAGCTGAACCATCTTGATGGTCCTAAATTTACATTTGAAACTTGACACTTCCTTGATTTTGGTACTCAAAAACTTTAACATACATGGCACAGCATCTGCTATTTCTGGAAGAAGAGTCCTTATGTTCACCTTCTGGATGAGGGGACAACATGAGACAAAAAGTGGAAACTAGTTCCTTAAACACTGCTACCACCCAGTGGGACCAACAGTCTGAGGGTGGTGTTTCCCAGCACACCTTGTTTTCACCAAACATGGACCACTGACAATCAAAGTCATCTCTGCTTAAAGAAAAACGTATCTTTAAGAAAAGCATAAGCCTTGGATGCAGGGGTAATTCAATGGGTGGAATGCCTGTGTAGCATACACAAAGCACTGAGTCCAACCCCTGGCACTGCATGAACCGGGGGTGGTGGTACATGCCTGCAATCTCAGCACTCTGGAGGCATGGCAGGAGGATCAGCAGTTCAAGGTCATGCTAGGCTACACAGTGAGTTTGAGGACAGTTTGGGCTACATACATGAGACCATGTCTCAAAAAAAAAGTTAGCCTTAAGAAAAAAAAAAGTCGTGGGGCTGGAGAGGTGGCTCAGAGGTTAAGAGAACTGGCTGCTCTGGCATAGGGCTTAGGTTCCAATCCCAGCACCCACATAGCAGCTAACAACCATCTGTAACTCCAGTTCCAGGGGATCTGATGCCCTCTTCTGATCTCCGCAGACATTGTACATCATGGGTGCACTTATATACATACAGACAATACACTCATACACATAAAATAAAAATAATAAATAATTAAAAAAATAAAACCAAGTCATGTAGGCCATTAAGGACAGGGACTGGAACATAAATCTTCTTTAATATTCCAAAATTTATTTTTCTACAGTCATCTAAAGAACAGAAGCTTCCAGTGTGAGCTTCCCTTCCAAGTCCAACCTGAGAGAATGTGAATTCATGGTTTCTATTAAATGTCTTATGGATCTTAATTCTGAAGCTATAAAACAAAGCTATAAAAACACCTAGCAAAATTGCTAAACTCTTCCTTCCATCTTAAAAGGAGAAATAACCAGATTGTTGAGGTAATGAAAAATCAGTGTTGAGTGGGTTTGGAGAGCTCTGTTTAAACTGAAATTTTCCAGGGGCAAAATGTACAAAATGGAGATTGTTCTGTTCCCACACAGTAAAATGTGTCCAATCATTAAAATTTTTTAATCAAAAATAAGTTTTTTGTATCTGGTACAGCAGGTTCCCTTTTAAGGTGCCCAAAGCAAAGGCCCCTCCTTCCAGATTCCTTTATGCTTATGCAAATAGCTGCCACTGGAGTGGGGCCCGCCTCCCACTTTTACCAGTCATTGTCCTGGAGGAAGGACTTGGTGGCAGGCGCTGTCCGAGGTGCTGGACTCCTTGCCGCTGAGCCCCAAATCCTGAAAGTGGGACATCTAGCCTTCGTTTCTCAGTCACAGAAATTGCTCTGAAGCACTGAACACTCTAAGGGGGGAGGGGGAGCTGAGGAGCAGGCTGGGGACAGAAAGGTGGCCAAGGCTACTGCAAGAGACCAACTGAGTTGTTGAGTGCAACACACCCACAGTGGCAAATGCAGGGAGAATAATGTAAAGAGACAGGAAGGATGACCACAGGGTGCAGCAACACCTGCAGGGCAGGGACATAGAGTGGCAGGTGGGGGCCAGGCAGGGCCAGCTTGCAGACCATCACTCAATGGTCTGGCTTGCTGCAAGTACAGTGGGACCACTGGGGTGCCTCATTTGGGGTACCAGCTGGTCTGTGCCCCTCCCAGCACTAAGCTGTAGGCTCCCAAGAGTGTGTTTCCAGCTCCTCCCCCAGCTGTGCCTGGGATTCCTGTTTTCAGTGGTTCCTGAAGCAGTGGAGTCAAGAATCTTTTCTCCAAAAAGACCCTATGAGACTCAAGTGGACTCATCTCCTCTCCAATAAACACACTCCACTTCTGCACTCTCTGGCATGGTCCTCACAGTCCTCTTGTCTTTCCTGTGTGTTGGGGTTTCAGGTAGCCCAGGCTGGCCTTACCTCAAGCTCACTATGTAGCTAAGGATGACCATGAACTACTAATTTCTCCTGCCTCCACCTCCCAAATGCTGAGATTACAAGCACCTACCACTATGTCCAGTTTTATGCAACCTGGACAGTAAATCCAGTGCTTCACGCACACTAGGTTGGCAATCTATCAGCTGAGCCACATCCCCAGTGCCTAAAACAGTCCTCTCAACTTGACCTCACTCTTCCACCTCCTCAGGCAGCTATGCTGCGCTGTTCGGCTTTGCTTACCCTCCTCCTTGGCTAGCTCTCTACTGCTACATTGCAAGCTGCCACCAATCACTGGAGGGCTCCAGACAATACTCACTCATTACCTCATGGATCTGCAGGTTACAGCCCAGCCATGGCTGAGCTGAACTGAGTCCCATTGCTGGAATCTCAAGCTGACACAGGGCATGGCCAAGTTCAGTTCCTGGTTCTTGAACAGTGGTCCCTTTTCTTCTGCTATCTGTCCACTGGGGGCCTCGCTGAGTGCCCAGATTCTATCCAGGGTTCCTCACTATGTGTCCCCCCATCCCACACAGGCCCTGACCTCCCAATCTCTACATGAGATGATCAGGTTTCTTTACAGTCTCAAATAAGGAATTATAGCTAAGACAGAACTAGTAACTAGATTATCATGGATTGAAAGAGCATTTATGGTTACATATTATTTATGTTACATACATTTTATATACATATTTAACTTCTTAGGCTGGTGCTCTGGCAAGACAGTCTTAATAAATGAAGTGCTGATGCTCATACATATTTGAATGCATATTTTAAATTAATCTTGCCCACCCTGCAGCAAACAGTGGTTAATGTCTGAGTTCCTTGGTGGAGATTAATACAATCACAGAGCTGGAGTTCCTTAAAACACATATTTGTTTTTTAAAGCAACAGCTCCCTCCATGTGCTGGGTAAAGTCTGATGGAGACGATGAAGAAAAATAAAACTAAACTTCGTGTGACATCCGTGTCTCGCGCACCGTTTCAGAGTGTTAAGAATTACAGCACGCACCACGCGGAACCAGGAAAGGACTACTGTTTTAAACATCCTTGGTAAAACCAATGTGAAGACACGGGAATAGAAACACATCTGCAAGCAAGTTCTGTGACAGGGTGGGCTGTGTCTGCAGCTCATAGGAGCCAGTGCTGACCGGAGTGAACCTGAGCCTGCAGAAGGCCGGAAGCTGGGCCTCTAGCTCCTAGAATGCACACAAGGTTGCATGGCACCAGGAGGTTAGAGGCCTTTTCCCCGTCTCTGCCAAGACCACCCACTTGAGAGAGACACTTGCTGACAAAGTCACGGTGCATTTGTTTCTGTGTGGGGTGTTTGTTTGTCTGTTTTTTGAGACAGGGCCAGGCTGACCTCAAACTAGCTATGTAGCAGAGAATAACTTTGAACTTCTGATCCTCCTGCCCCCACTTTCTGAACATTCCCTGACAGGTGTACACCACCATGTCTTGTGTGTGCAACAGGTGTACACCCCCAGTCTGGCGTGTGCAGTACTAGGGATGGAACACAGGTCTAGTTGAGCACTCGCCAACTGAGCCACATCCCACAGTTCAGGAATGCCCAGGAATACCCTGGGCTTCTAGCTGCCACATGCCCCCCACCCCCCAGCTGAGGACAGAAGCTACAGAACATGCTGGAGAGCTCTATCTCCACGAGGAGCATAGAGACTCACAAAGGACCTGAGACTCACAGGCACTCTTCATAAACACAGACAGAAAACATGCCGATAAGGCAAACACAGAGAAAGGCCTTTCTTTACCTGAGGGTTTGCAAACAGCAGTCCTGTGACTCCATGCTCCACCACAGCAGCATTCCCGGGGATGTTTCTGGCCAGCACAGGCACCTCCAAGTCCATTGCCTGTGGATATGAGAGAAAAGATAGGGGCCATCATTTAAGAGCCAGACAAGGGGGTTGAGGAGATGGCTGAAGTGCTTGCCATGCAAACATAAGAACCTGAATTTGATCCCCTAGAACCCATGGGAAAAAAAAAACCCAAAAACCAGGCAGGTGGTGTGCACCTGTAATCCTAGCACTAGGGATTGGGAGAAATGGGAGGATCCCTGGATCTCACTGGCTAGTCAATCTAGCCTAATCATCAAGCTCCAGGTTCAGTGGGAAACCTGTCTCAAAAAATAAGGTAGACAGAGATACAGGAAGAATGCATTATCAACCTCTGGACTCCAGATGTACACACATACATGCACATATAAATAAAGAGACACACATGCATACCAAATAAAGAAATACATATGCCGTATGTATATACATACACATACATATAAAAAAGCCAGACCAGCCAATTTGTGAGAGAATAACTTTGGTTAGCTGGATAGACTTCTGATATCCCACAAAACACAGACCTTGCCATAATGGTGAGTCCTGTATTTTCAAACTACAACACCTGGATTCTGACAGCTCCTGTATGCGGACGCTCTTGGAAATGATGCTGTCATCGCTTAAGTAACTTGTCTAACACAATCATAAAGAAATCCACTGTCTCCAGATGTTCCTCTGACCCTCCACTGACCTTTGGAAGTTGACATCTCTACTTGTGGTCACCACTTCCCTTAGTGAGTATTTTTCTTTCAGTGTGGGCCCTGTGGATGGCACAGGGACTAAGCACATCCCTCTGGCTTGCAGACAAAGGTAAAACAAACTGTATTCTCATTCTGAGAATTCAAGCAGTAGCCTTCCTGCTCCCAAAAGTTTGGGGATGAGCCTGTTACATGCCATAGCCTAGGATGAGGTGGCAGGGGACCAGGAAAAATGTCCCCAAAGCCCAATATGCACAGCTAGCCACACTGATGGGGGACATTTTCTGGATTCTTTTCTGCAGCTGAGGCAGAGGGTGGCTGAGTTAGAAGGCTACAGAGTTGTGTTGTTCTGCTTAGACATTTCCAGCCTCCTCCAAAGAGTCTTCTGCTGTGGCTTATACCTAGGCCAGTCTGGCTCCTGGGAAGTTGCCACCAATAGACCAGAGAGATGGCTTCCACGCAAGGTCTAGAGCCTGGACTGGCTGCATGATCAGCAAACCCATAGTCCAGTTTTTGCTATATCTAAATGTGTTCTCAATAATTCGATTCTACCTGGGGTATTTAACCTCACCTCATATAAAGCTAGTTCTAAGGAAGGGCTGGGAATGAGCTCAGTTGGCAGAGTCCTTGCCTACCGTGCACTAAGCCCTCAGTCGATTCTCGCACCTAATAAAATGGATGCGTAATCCCAGAACTCTGGAATTCAAGGTCATCCTTGGCTACACAGCAAGTCTGAAGCCAACCTGGGCTATATGAGATCCTGCCTCAAAAATAAATAACTGAATCTAGTTCTAAAGGGGCCACACTTTGCTCTCAAAAATGCAACGTCGCCCTCCTTCAGCTCCTCAGGAAACTGCCAGAGAGATTTGCAATGCCTTGGAAACTGTCTGGTGCCTCCGACAGAGTATGACACATTGGAGGTGAGCTCTCCATGCACATTTGTAGAGCTCACACCCAAGAAGCATGCATACCAGGTCACTAATAACTCAGCAGCTCACAATGAGGTTGTCGTGTTAGCAGAGGTTCGGGATCTCACCTGGCTCTCTCATTATGCCTCAACTGAACCTTCCTAGGACACTTCAGCTCTGTAATCACAGCCCCAGATGATGGCTCATGGATGAGGCAGGAGGGGCGCATGTTCCTCTAGCTGTCCTATGAGAACTTCTGGTCCTCATCCTTTGGGGAATCAGCCAAACTAGATTCACCCAGGAGTAAACACACCTAGCCCACTGTACAGACAGCTCCACAAACAGGGTGTCTTTCTCAGGTCCTCCCCATCTCACGATCACAGAGGGTCTCTAAATACTAATTTCCCACATCCATTCTGTAGTTAAAGAATGGGATCTATAATTGTCGTTACACTTGGGACCCAGGTAACTAGTTAGCGTGGTGGAAACAGCCGGGATGGCCATGTCTCAAAATCGGGTGCATGGTGCTTTAACGATAAAAGAGCCAATACAACAGGAAAGCGTGGTCATTATTCAAATGCACACACCTAAGAACAGAGCCCCAGGAACAAGAAGGGGAAACTGATAGAGCTGAAAGGAGAAAAGCCTTCCACACCACTGGAGACTGTGACATTCAACTCTCAGCTATCAGCAAAGCAGATAGATAGGTTTTCAGTATCACCAAAAAAGAGGTCAACATTACACACCAACCTGACCACAGAAGACGTTCTCTTCAAATACGAACACAGATCTTTTCCCAGAAAAAGCGCGTTAATCAAATAACAAGACCTGGTACCTCTTAAAACATTGAAATAATGCAAAATATATTGTCTGGTCATGTTATTGGGAGACAGGATTATGTCTACAAGAGAAGGAAAACTACAACTGTAGAATGAAGGATTGGAAGTCAAGATACCAGGACAGGACAGGGGTGCACGTGTGTGCATAGGCATGGTTGAGTGTGCACATGTGGGAATGCATGTGCATGTGTGCATATGCATCCCTGAGTGTGTACATACTCATGCCTGAGCCTGTGCATGTGTGTGTGTGCTCAGTACGATGTAGCAATTTCCTCAGGGTTAAGACATTCTATCTTAGAGGGAAGCTTCTTAAGACACAGGATGTTCTAAGGGTGTGTGTGTGAAATGTTCCATCCTGCAAGGAAGTTCCTTAAGCTCTGGAAGTAACTCAAAGACCTCAGGAAGTCCCTGAAACTGACCAGATTCACTAGTCCCTGCCTTCTCCAAACATATATAAATGGTAAGCACTGCCGACAGACACTCTCAAACCACTTGAGCTGCTGGAAAGAGGCATTCTCCAACTTGTCTGCAAGTTGTGCAGTGCGCTCTAGGTTTCCGGCTTCTGTGAGCTGTCAGCTGTGCTGGGTGGGCTTTTGGTGATGCAGCTGTCCTTGAGTCATTTCTGGTCCTGTAAGTAACCCCTCACCTCTACTCCTGTAAGTAACCCCAATAAAACTCATTAGTTCACCAAGTTGGATTTTGGTTATATCCTTCTTTGGTCTGTCACACATTCCCTTGCTTGGATGAGATGTTTGATGTGTCACACAACACATGTGTGCACATGCATGTGTGTACCTCCTCCTCTTAACTCACCCCCCAGGAGGCCTAGAAGCAGGGATTTCCCAGAAGGCCATGCACACCAGGCACCTGTTTGGTTGTTACTATCTTCTCAAAAGGAAACCAGGAGTCCATGGGGAGATGGCTAGTCTGGGAGCTCAATGGGGAAAGGCCAGCACTACAACTTCCTCAAGTTCAGGTTCATCTGCTTTGCTCACTTCTTGCGGTGTCTCCGCCCCTCACAAGGAAATAACAGGAGGACAAGGACTCTGCTGTGTTCTAATTGTTGCCCTTTCGCTGAAAGCTAGCTGGGGGCCAGATCATCTCAGACACTGCTGAATGAAGAAACAAGTGACTCCATTCACTCAGCTAATGGTCACCGTTTATCCACGGCACTGTACTGGACACCGGGCAGGACAAGGGAGTTGAGTAGGCAAAGCCCTGTCCTGGGGGAAAGTAGTGTTAGTAGGCAAGATTTGCCCTGCATTGGGAAGCTGAGCCTTGAAGGGAGAGAGACACTATAAAGTAGAATCAGAGAGGTTTACAGTGACAGAAAACTGAATTTGATGCTGCCTCATGAAATAAAAACTGTGTCTTTAAGAATGGAAAAGTAAACACAGAGCAGGCCCCAGAATCCAAGCGTGATGAGAGGCTGGTCCCGAGGAGAGCTGCAACTGGCAAAGCTGTGCGCTAGACAGTGTTTGGAAATGGGTGTGCTGGCATTCAGAGCACATTCAGAGCAGGGAAAAGGGGGCGGGGTGGCAGGGAAGTTTAGTGCTTGCAGCAGACACGTGAAATGTCAAAACACAAGATCCACAGTTTCCCTCCATCAAAACCCCCTGACCTTCTCCCTAGAGGAACTTTGCCTCTTCCTGTCAGGGGGATGGAAACTTACTGCAGGGCCCTCTAAACACCCCTGTAGCTAGCCCACCATCCTCAGCAGAGAATATACGGTTTACAGACACAGTCTCTAATGTTCATGGCTGAGAAGTCGTGAGAAATTCAGCTGCTGGGGTGGCACCCCAAAAGACCAGACTGAGGACAACACATCACCTATGTGCTTCCTGGTGGTTCAGACACTGAGGCTGAACACTCTTCTGTACAGATTCTCTCATGGGGGGTGGGGGGGTTGCTTGCATTTTGGTGGCATGACTGACCACATAAAGTGATCAGGAATTGTGCAAGGGAACAACTTGGTCTCAATGTGTCATTCATACAAACACATACAGAACACACATCCCCACAGCATCGGGCCCAGAGCGTTTCTCAATAGGTGTGGCCAGTGGTATGTGGTACAATTATTTGATACAAAGAACTGCCTGGCACCTTGCAAAATTCCCCACCTCCTGTAGCTTCCCCCACCCAAAATAAATTCCCATAACATCTTTCTAGTATTGACATCTGAAAAGAACCTTTGCTTTTCAAAAGAGTAAGGAACAGGCATGCCACACGTACCTATATAAAACCTCACACACACACACCCTGGTATCAAGATGTCACATAGTCACAACAGCTTTTAGCTTTTGAAATGCTGTTACAAGGTCCTTCAGGGTTCTCATCATTAGAGCTAGTGCTGCAGAGAGAGGTCAAGGATGGCTCCATCTTGCTCTTAGTCTCAAAGTACCATCTTCCTTTCAACCAGGTAGCAAAAACTGGCCCTGACATACATTGTGTGTCTGAGTCTGCATGTGCCTATGTTGGTGCCCTGGGAGGGAAAGCTGTGATAAGACAATCCATTACATTCTTTGTACCTGGAGGGGTGTGTGTGGGTACACATGTGTGTGCATGTGTGTGAATGTGAACATGAGTGTAGAAGTCCGAGGAAGACCAGGTGCTTTTCCTCAGAGACCAACCATCTTGTTTTCTCAGACTGGGTCTCTCACTGGCCTGGAGCTGACAGATTCTAATTGGCTGGTTAGCCAGCAAGCCCCAGAGATCCCCTCGCCCAGTGCTGAGGTTACATGGCCACACCTGACTTTTTTACATGGGTTCTGGGGACTGAACACAGGTCCTCAGGCTTTGTACAAGCACTTTACTGACTGAGCCAACTCTTCGGCTCCTTCTTTACCTACTTTTAAGGAAATCCTGTGCAGGACTCAAATTCACAGTATGTCTGAGTGAACAGCAACTGGCTCGCTTTCAGAAATTATCATTCTGTTGCTGTCCATCCACCTGAGGTTTGTTTTTGAGCGTTCTAGCAGTAAGAAGCCTGCTTTAGCTAATGGGGTTTTTCACATGGCTGCATGGGCAAACAGATTGAGAAAGGTCAAAAGATCGCTTCCCCCTCAGCCACAGACACGCGCCCCATGATTAACCACGCTGGCCATCTGAAGTGATCCTATGAGACAAAGGCTCCCACTCCTCCAAATCAGCTTCATTCAAAGCCCTTCGCACAATGGTTGTTTTAACTTCTCAAAAAGAACACAACATCAACACTTAGAGGCCGTGGAATTGCTAACAGCTGCTTTCCTCTGAAGTGAGTGCAGCAGCAATTTCTCCACAGTGAAATGCTGGGTGTGCTGGTTATAAAATCACTCCCCCGACTCCAGGCATGCAACCTCTTCTTAAAAAGCTGAAAAAAATGAATGTGTATTTACATATATTGTAACAATTCAGCAACTGCTCCACATTGGTTTGCAAAGGTAGTGCTGAGAGGGGATGGTACTGCTCCAGTGGCTGGTGCTGAACGCCCAGTACAGGCCAATACTAATCACCAAGATCAGGTACAGGTGCTGGCTTCTTTCCTAACACAAACATAACACAAAGCCTCATTTTATGGGTGGTGTGGTGTAGTATATATGGTTCAGTTTGATTTTGTGACAGGATCTCCCTGTAGCCCCAGTTGGCCTAGTACTCTTTGTGTAGACCAGACTGCTAGCCTCAGTGTCACAGAGATATGCCTGCCTCTGCCTCCCAAGTGCTGGGATTAAAGGTGCACCTCACCATACCAGGCTTTGTGTTTTGCTTTTTTAAATGATGCCAGATTAAAAGAAGATATTGAGCACATATTATGGTTTGAAAGTGAAATGTGCCCCAACAGGTTCATGTGTTTTAACACCTGGTCTCCAGCTGGTGGTGCTGTTTTCAGGGGATGGGGGGGGATTGTGAATCTTGAAGGAGTGGTCCAGTACAACTGAGGTGGGTCACAGGGAGCAGGCCTTTGAGAGTTACAGCCTCACCCTGCTTCTAACCCATTCACTCCTCCTAGACCCTGGGATGTAAGAGCCATGCCCAACACTAGACACAGACTCTTCATCCAGCACACCTTCCCTGCTATGATGTGCCAAGCCCTCTGAACCCATGTGGCAAATTAAACACTTTCTCCCATAGGGTCTTGCTATGTGGCTGTTCCTGGCCTGGAACTCCCTATGTAGACCACGCTGGACTCAAGCTTGCTGCAACCCACTAGTCTCTGCCTCTTGAATACAGGACACAGGATTAATCATCCCTTAGGAGGGAGAGAATGATTTTCCTTCTTCACTGCAGTCCTGGACCACTGGGTTTGTAAATGGTCCCTCTTGTCAGTAAGCTGGGCACATTCAAATGCTGTCCACAGGAATAGTCAATGAAATGAGGAATCTGTGTAGGAGGAACACAAGGGACCTGAATGGAAGGTCTGGGGTGCCATCTGCCCAAATCCTTCCCTCTTGCAGCTGGTCAGCATCTAGGTACACCACTTTTGCCTATGCATCTGAACCATAGGCAGCTCTCAGAGACACCATGCATGCTGAGACTCCTGTTAGAGGGCCATGGGGGTAAGGGCCATGCTGAAGCCTGGTCTAGACAGGTACGTTAAGCCTGTCATTAGAGTATGCTCTCTGTCAGAGACACACATCACACACACACACACACACACACACACACACACACACACACACAATAAATTTAAAAAAAAAGAAAGAAAAGAAAAAGCACCTTTAGCTCCGCAGGTAAAACTGTCAGGCTTTCTAGCTTTTGTTTTTTTGTTTTGTTTTGTTTTTTTTGACAGGGTCTCCCTAGTCCTGGCCCACCTGAAAGTCACCATGTAGACCAGGCTGGCCTCAATTTCACAGAGATCCACCTGCCTCTGCCTCCCAAGGGCTGTGAATAAAGGCTTGCTTTATTGAGGCAATGTTATTAAGGGGCTCCTAAAGTCCTACCCCTAGCTGAGAAGGAGTTGATCACTGCTGAGGGAGGGAACGTTACTTTCCTTTGGGGATGTGGCCAATGGCAGGTTGCCCAAGCCCCAGTGGATGGCCCCACATCCATGCACTTACAGGCAGCCCTAACTCACTCGACTCAGAGAACTATTAATAATAATCATCATTTTTAAGAGAGGACATGAGGTCAGGAGGGAGACAGGTTGGTAAGTCCTGTCAGGGAATGGTGAGAAGTTAAATGGGGAGGTGGATAAGATCAAAATATATTACATACATGTATGAAATTTTCAAAGAATAAATACAAATATTGTATTTTAAAAAAGAAGGGCTAGAAAGCACCCACATGTTGGATCTGGGTATCCAATGACCATCTTCTGGCCTCCTCAGGCATGAGGCACACATGGTACATGTATATACATATAGGCAAAACACTCATAAATATAAAATTTAAAAAACAAACCTTAAAAAAGAGCCACCCATATCAGATATCTACAACTACCTGTAACTCCAGCTACAGGCAATCCAGTGCCCTCTGACCTCTGCAGGCACCGGTACACACATAGTGCACATAAATTCATGCAGGTACACACATACACATAACATAAAAAATCCAAATCTTAATATGTGTCTTTTTTTTAAAAAAAAAAAAAGGGGGTGATGGCTCAGTGGTTAAGAACACACATGCTCTTGCAGAGAACCAGAGTTAAGTTCCCAGCACCCACATCAGGCATCTCATAACCACCTGTAACTCCATCTCCAGGAGATTCAACACCCTCTTCTGGCCTCCACAGGCAACTGCACTCACATGCACATACTCCCACATAGACATATATGCATACACATTATGAAATAATAAAAGTAAATCTTTAAACAATGAAGAAGAAAGAGAGCAGGGCAGCCCACATCCAACCCTCAGCACTCACTGCTGTTACCTCGAGGATGGCTGCTGACATGCCCTCGGAGATGGAGCTGTTGACCAGTGCAAAGCAGCTCTTCAGTACCGCGTGCAGATCTTCCTGGCACATTTCTCGGATAAGCCGCACCCCGGGAGCCCTGAAGTGGCAGGAATGGCGGACACAGCAGCTGCTTCAGCCCTTCTAATAGCCCAGCTCAAATCTTAAGTGAACAGTTGATATTCAACTTGTCTAACCAGTGAAGCTGGGTCTCTGTTCCTGGCAGAAAACTGCAATTCATAACAAATACACTCACAAATTACAATCCCAAGAGACTAGCAATCCGTACCTTTTACCAGCCAAGCGTAAGAGAGATGCCCTCATTCTTCCAACTCTTTCTTATTTTAAATCTTCCAACTTTTACCCAATGTGAGCCACGAAAATCATCTTCTGGAGGCAAGTTTCACAAAGCCAAGTGTGAGTGGAGGCACACACCCAGAATCCCACGACTCAGGCTCTGAGTTCCAGGCCAGCCTGGGATATATATTATTCTGAGCTAGCTGAGCTAGCCTGGTATATGCAGTGAAATCCTATCCCAGAAACAGACAGGGTGGTTTGCACTGACCTTTGCTCATGACTAGAGAAGTGGGGCATCTTAGGCTGTGAGTGTGTTTCCTCTCCTATACTTGGAGTCCAAAGCATGACTTTGTGGGGTCCTGAGAGGATTAAAGGAGATAGTGTGCATCTACTTGGAGCAGGGTCTGGGGTGGGCAAGCTTAGACTCATATACCACACTGCCACTCAAATTTAAGTCTGCAAGATGCCACCTATCCTCCAGCCTTACCTCCTTACTCGGTCTTTCACTTCCCTTGTAAATGTTGGATCCACCTGGAAAGAGAGGGACAAGAAACACCTGAAAAGCCTGACACTTGGGCCAGTGAGATGTCTCAGCAGGTAAAGGTGTTTGCCACTAAGACTGATGACCTACCTGAGTTTGAAACCCTGAGCCCACATGGTGGAGAGGACTGCCAAAAGTTGTCCTCTGACCTCTACACATGCTCCATGGCATGTGCATGTCCCCCCAATAATACATATTTGTTTAAACCTAACCTTGTAGGGTGGACTAGGCATGTAGCTCAGGTGGTAGGGCACTTGTCTAAAAGGCACAAAGGCCTGGGTTTGATCCCCAGCACTGCATAAACCAGTTGCGACAAGAAAGGCCTGTAATTTCTGCACTTGGAAGGAGGCAAGAGGATTAGGAATTCAAGATCATCTTCAGCTACATGGAGAATTCCTGTCCAGCCTGGGATACATGAAAAAAACCCTGTCTGAAAGCTTGTCATAAGTCCCTGGACCAGGACACACGACCACAGAAAAGCCCACCCAGCAGTTCAGAAAGGAAGGAAACAGGAAGAGAGGTACAGCTGGAGTCCAGCTGTTACACAATGAAGGCAAAAACAGAAAGACAGAAGGGGGCAGAGGTTGCTTGGCTTCTGCAGGACAGGCACCAACTAGGAGCCCTGGGGATACCTGAAGGCTTCAAAGGAGAGTGGAGAGTCCCTAGGACTTAACTGAATTGAACAGCACAATCCTGCAGGGAAAGGCGTGCTTAAAATATGCAGATGAAATTTACCATAAAAACAATGAGAATGAGTGGGAAGCCTCAGTAAGTTTCTGAAAAACTACCTCATGGAATTTAAGTTTTGTTTTTAATGGGGAGCCTTGTCAAAAACACAATTTTAAAGGCAAGGGTATGCTCATCAGCTGATGAATAACAAAATGTGTTTATTCATAAGGCACAGTATTATTCAGATGTAAAGAGGAAGAACTGATTCTGCAACACAGATGAATCCTGAAAAGGCTACACCAAGCAGGGCGTGGTGCTGCGCACCTGCAACACAGCACTCTGCAGGTGGAAGTGGAGGAAGTCCAAGGTCATCCCTGGGTACACAGAGAATTCAAGGTCAGCCTGTTCCCAAAGCTGCTGCTTAATTCTTCGTGCTTACTTCAACGCACCACGAATTCTTCAACAAGACACTCAACAGACTACCAGTTAGCCCCTCACTATGTCTCACTAAACTGCTGTTACCGCCAGTGAATGCAACTTTAAAACAACTGAAGTTTTCTTCAACTGATGCGACTATAACACAAACTTCCAGGGCCAATGAGGTAATTCAGTGGGCAAAGGTGCTTGTCACCAAGCCTGATGACCTGAGTTTGATCCCTGGGACCCAAGGCAACATGGCATACACACACCCACACACATGAAATAAATAAATAAATAATATAGTAATAAAGTAACAAAAAAATTTAGGGGTTGAAGAAATGGCTCAGTGGTGAAGCATGCCCGCCACTCTTGCAGAAGACCTGAGTTAGGTTCCCAGCACCCACACAGGGAGGCCCACAACCGCCTGTAACTTCAGTTCTTTGGGAATCCAGTACCACCTTCGCCTTCTGGGTTCCCCAGGCACTGCGAAAAGCCCCCCACCCCCAACACACATACAATAAATCTTTTAAAAACTTTTTAAAAATCCTAGGCATTTCTTCAAAGACACAAGCAGAGGCAGCATGACCCCAGCTTCCTAATGTGATACTGGCAGCTCCTCCCACCTGTGTCTCTAAAAGGGCTGCAAGGGAGTCAGACTCAATTTCTGTTCTCATGTATGCTTTGCCAGTGGCAATCATGAATTACAATCATGCTGGCATAAAGCACATGCCAAAACTCCACTAGCTTATAATGGTGGCTGACATGGTACCATTTTCCAGAAACTTGGTTTCATTTTTTTCTGACAAGGATGTGCTGTGTAGCACATGTGTTGAACCCTGAATCCTTCTGACTTTACCAGTGCCTGCATGTGACCCTCAGGGGACGGTGATGCTAGGTTTACTGATGGCCCCTGAGGCCAGCACATCACTGGGAATTTGTGGTGCTAAATTATATTGACTATGGATGCGTAAGAAATTATAATTATCCTAGAAAGATCTGTGCAGAGCAAAGCTCATAGATGTGAGCAACTTATTGCTCATTGCAGTTGTGTCTGTTAATAACGAATACTCAGTAACCACTCACGATGGAGCAAACCTGTGCTAAACTCTTCACATTCATTAACTTGGTTCCTGCATCAATGTTAGTGCTGTACCTGTCTACAAAGAGGACACAGAAGCTCAGAGAGGTTCAGTAACTTTACCAGAATCACAGACAGATGTTAGGCCAGTGTTCCATTAGGGGCAGACTGATTGGACAGCCTGTATTCTAGAAGCAACATTCTCTTGTCTCTGGTTTCTGCTCAGTTTCATCAGATGGCTCTTCAAAACATCCAGGGGCAGAGCCTGGGAGACAACTCAGTAAAGTGCTTGCCTTGTAAGCCTGAGGACCCGAGTTCAGAGTTCAGTCCCCAGAATGCACACAAAATGCTGGACATGGTGGTGCAAGATTATATTCCAGTTCTGGGTAGGTGGAGACAGGAGGTTAACTGGGAAGGCCAGTCAGCCTAGCTAAATGGGCAAGACCCAGACCAGTGGAAGACCCTGTTTCAAACAAACAAACAAACAAACAAGGTGGATGGCACCTGAGAAACAACACCTGTGGTTACCTTTGTCCCTTGTAGATGCACACATGCACATATACACAGGTACACACACGCACACACACACTCATACACATACACAAGCTGGAGTAGCTCATGCACTTCCTGTCTACTTTCTCTACCAACCTGTGTCCCAGTCTCTCCACGATCCTCCAGGTGTAGATGACCCCACATCTCTGACATACTTTCACTTTCTCTGGTCCTCCTAGCCAGAAGCAACACATCTCCCCCAACAATCTTGCCACTTGCTACTCCAAGGCCACCAATCCAGACAACAGCTCTGCATCTCTTCCCTCCACAGCTCCATCTCCTGTCTTTGGCCCCACACAGTGACTAGCACACAGTTCCACAACCAAAAGTCTTTGCTGAAAGAACTACCCTTCCATTTCCCATTCCGAATGCCTTTCGTTCAAATTATCCTAAGCAATTAAATTGCATTACAACCCCTAGCATCTTACAATGAAAAGTAAACACTCCATTGAAAGTCTTCTTTGGGACCAGTGAGATGGCTCAGTGGGTAAAGGCGCTTGCTGCCAACCCTGATGAGAGATGGATCCCTGGGACCCACATGGTAGAAGGCAAGAACCAACTCCCACATTGTTCTCTGACTTCCACATAAGCACCATGTCATGTGTGCCCACACAAGCAAGCATGCACATACACATACAAATAAATGCGCACACATAAATAAATGTAATAAAAATCAAAAGCATTCTTTTGCGCTGCGTGTTAATTCCCACTTGAACATTTTACGTAGGATTACCTTAGCTAGACATCCCTCCTTTTGTCTTTATTAGCAAGCGTTAGCCCTCCTGACGAACTATTCAGGGAGAGATAGTTTGTCAAGGAAACAAATCAAGTTTTATGGAACTACTGAAATTTGGCTGAGGAACGAAGAGCAATTCTTAAGATGAACCTACAATCGGCGTGGGGTTTCTCTGGGTTTACTTTCCACATCGGTTCATTTTCAAATTTCTTAGTGAAGTCAAGTGGAACAAAATGCAAGATAAAAAGGAAGGGAAAGATGGATATTTTTATTTAATGAAAGTATACAATATGAGATTTTTAAAGGCAAAAGCGTTGGGAGCAGCAAAGAAAAATTCTCATTTCCTTCTTCCAAACTTGTTTATTTCCTAGCAAAATATATTGTTTCAACTCTCAGGCTTAGGGGAAATAATCTTTAATAGAGGAAGTTGCCAGGCAAAGTCATTAAGCTGTCATGCCCAAACCAAACGTTTCCCCCTCCAGCACTCCTTATCAAAGAGCTTTAGAAGGGACTGCACAGGATGATCTGTGAGCAGGAATGCATGCTTATCTGAGGTGGAGGAACTGAGAGATCAAAGAGGCATTAACGGACAACTGAGGCAGATCTCAGAGCATCCCACAGGATCCCTGGATGCTGACAGTCGGAGCAGAAAGGAAACATCGGCTTCAAGGGTTCCCTCTGCATTCTACATCCACAGGATGCTGCCTGGAGGCCAGGAACTGCACACATTTTCACTTAACATCTTCAAAGCAAACTGAGAGGCAAGTCCTACTGTCATCCCTAACTGGCAGATAGGGAGAGTCCTCTGTTTGGATATGTTTGGACAGGTAGCTGGCCCAAAGTTGGTGAGGGACACATCCCCTTCACCATGCAGCTACATGGTCCAGCTCTCCTCACAACAGAGTCAAGGCAGCTCTGGTGGGCAGCCAGCAGTAAGAAGTTTAACATGGGGCTTCTGTATGTGGCTAGAACTGGTTTTCTGAAAATTTCCTGCAAAGATTTACCATGAAAGTTGACATACATGTGGAATCTAAAAATTAAAACATAAGCATGAAGGATTGGATTTTGTGTGTGTGTGTGTGTGTGTGTGTGTGTGTGTGTGTGTGTGCGGAGGCCAGAGGATAACCCGGGGTATCATTCCTCAGGAGCTAGCAGCTTTGTTTTCTGAGGTAACATCTCACACTTTCACCTGTAACTCACTGATCCAAAGAGGCTGGCTGGTCAGCAAGCCCCAAGGATTTGCCAGTCACTCCCTCCCCAGCCTGTGATTACAAGAATGTCACTATACCTGGATTTTTTTTTTTTTTTCTGTTACTGTCTCTGTGTGTGTGTGTGTGTGTGTGTGTGTACATGCGTGCATGCGTGAGTGTGCGTGTATGTCTGTACATGGGCACACACATGTGGAGGTAAGAGGAGAGCTTGTAGAAATCGGTTTTCTCCTTCTACCATGTGGACTCCAGGATCAAATTCAAGTCATCAGGCTTATAGCAAATGCCTTTACCCACTGAGCCATCTCACCAGCCCTTACTTGACCT